GGAAGAGCCAGACTAGCACAGAGCAAGGTACATTCTTCTAGTGTTGAGTCCACTTGATGCTCTTGAGGTCAATGCCGTCCTGCACCATCTCCCAGAGAGGACTGCCAAAGAAAAGAGGCATACAATGAGCGAGGCTTGGACGGGAGGCAACCTACACTGGCACCGAGGCCCTGAACAATGACTGATTTGCCTCCTTCTGTCCTGTCTCTACCTTTTGCCCTAGTGGATTCCATCACAGGTGATTAATAAATCACAGCCACCTTTAAATCCAGATCAATTCCAGCTTCTCCCCAACTGCCAATAAACCAGATTAACTAGGTAACCTAGGCTCAGCTACAATGGGATCCTGAGTCAAAAGATTTTAGGAATGCTCATACTCTTTCTTTCTTTTTTAATGTTATTGTTGTAATTTTGAGATCAAGTCTTGCTATTTTGCCCAAGCTGACCTTGAACTTGTGATCCTCCTGTCTTGGTCTACTGCATAGCTGGGATTATAGGCATGTGCCACCATACCCAGCCCAGCAACAGAAATCTTTCCATTTATGAGATTTTCTTTGACCCAATACAGTTAGCTATCCCCTTCCTGACCCTAACAGGATCACAAAATGAGGCTCTGGTTGAAGGCTAATGGGACCAAGCTGAATTCAGTTCGTAAAAGACCAAAAGGAATAGGGTACAAAGTAACTGTACTGTATACCTAGAATGTACCAATAAACTCAATAAAAAGAAAAAAAAAGGAATAGGGTACAGATACTGAAAACTGACAGGAAGAAAAAGAAAGCACTGTCAGTAGAAATGCCTTTTAAATGCACAATTGATAATATGAAATAGGAAGAAAAAGTCTGAAAGAAAAAGAGAAGTGGGAGAGGTAGGGGCAAGGAAAGAAAGGAAAAGAAAAAATATGAGAAAAGGAAAAAATGGAAACAAAGTCTCTGTAAATAGGGAGGGGTGGGATAGTTGAAGGGAGGGCAGGGGAATGGGGAAAAAATAAAAATCAAGATACATCATGTAAAGGTACAAATTCCAAATGATGAATGTAACTATTGTATATCTAAAAAGTACAGATAAACTTAAATGAAAATAACGCGTTTTGATTGTACCAGAATGCAAAGCCAAGGGAAGAATCTGGAGCCTAAGTACCTAAGCAAGCTGTAAATGTTAATGCAACTACACCCTAGCAAGGAAATCTAGAATACAGCAAGGCTGGGGAGAGCTAACAAAGGGCAGCAAATACATACCTAAACTTCCTCTCTCTACCAGGTAGACCAAGGAAAATCTGAAAGTCAAGTGGACCAAAGACAGCCAAACTTTGAAAAAAAAATCCAATGTACTCAGTACGAAGCTGAGATATGTGGTTATATGGGGAAGCCCTGGTGGCAGTTGAATAGTAAAGAATCTTTTCCTTTTTTTTTTCCAGTTCTGAGGATTATACCCAGGGGGCATTTGCACCAAATTATGTCTATAGCTGTTTTTTAATTTTTTTCTTTTGAGATAGGGTCTTGGTAAGTCTCTTACTTTCCTAGACTGAGTTCCAATTTGAGATCCTTCTGCATCAGCCTTTCAGAGTGCTGAGATTATAGACATGCAAGACCACACCAAACTAGGAATCTCTTGAAGTTATAAACATCACTGAGTAGTAGTTCCTAATCTTTTAAAAATCTCATGGAAAGGTGGGTGTGGTGGCACATACCTAATAATCCCAACACTCAGGAAACTAAGGCAGGAGAATTACTACAAATTTGAGGCCACCTGGGCTACACAATGAGTTCAAGCCCAGCCTGAGCTATATAGTAAGACCTCTTCAAAAACAAAAAAAATAGAAAAGTTAGGAGCTCAGTGGTAGAACACTATTACACATGAGGTCCTAGGTTCAGTCCCCAGCAATGCAATCTGAAAAAACAAAACAGCAAGGCGTGATGGCACAAGCCTGTAATCCCAGCACTCAGGAGTTTGAGGCAGAAGGATCACCTAGAGTTCAAGGCCAGACTGGGCTACTTATCATGGGACCTTGTCTTAAACAAACAAACAAACAATAAAGCCACCTAAAAAATAGAAAAATCTTATGAGAGCTATGGACTGTCAACACAGAGACTGCAAAATCTTGTAATATTTAGAATACAACTTCAAGTCTATCATGTATCTCTAAAGATGCTGGCCACAGGCCACAGAACTCTAATTAAGAATCCCTATCTTGGGCCAGGGATTTGGCTCAGGGGTTCCACCCCTTGCCTCAAAAGCTGAAGGGCCCAAGTTTGATCCCCGGTATAAAAAAACAAAACAAAACAAAACAAAACAGCTATCTTTCTGGGTGCAGTGGCGCACAACTGATTCCCAGCTATTTGGAAGGCCTAGGCAGCAAAATCATAAGTTAAAGTCTAACCTAAAGAATTTAGTGAGACCCCGACTCAAAGTAAAAAGGGGGATGGCTCAGTGGTAGAGTCTGATTAGCATGCACAAGACCTTGGGTTTAATTTCCAGTTCCACAAAAAGAGAGAGGCGGGAGGAATACTACTTGCATTGATATCCTTCTTTAGGTTTTAAAATACTTTTCATATTCTGAAAAAAAAAAAATGGCCAAAAAAATTCACCTTCTTGCTTTTGTTCCCTTTAGGATTTAGAAACTCTGACTCTTAAAACCTAAGTACTGTCAAACTTTGGTTTCTGGTAGTGTGAACACACAGCCCAAGGATAAGAGAGGGGCCAGGATTATAGTTTCTTCCAACAGTGCATACCTCATTTCTCGAAGACGTTTCACATGCTGAACGCATTTCTCCACAGTATAGTCTACTTCTTCCTCAGTAGTGAAGCGGCCAATGCCAAACCTGAAGAGGACATGGGGAAGAGCTCTCCATCAGAGGTGGCACTGGGGTAGATTTATGTGGCCAATATTCACTGAAGATCTACTATATAAAGACAAAGAGAGAAGAGCAGGGACCTTCCCTTCTAGGCCAGAGAACATGGTCTGTGAATCAACACATGAGAATCACCTAAGAAAGTTCCTATTCCTCCCTCCTGACATAGTAAAGGAGAATATCTGCGTATGAATTTGCCATTTTTTATAAACTTGCCAGATGATGCTCAATGAAGTCTGAGAACCTGTGCTCTAGAAACAAGAAATAAATAAGGAAAGGCTGGAGATATAGTTCAGTGGTAGACCACACACTTACATTAAATTCCCAGCAGCAAAAAAAAGAAAGGACAGAGAGAACCAGACTGACAATAATAGGACATGAACACTAAGGAGAATGCCTTTTGGCTTGAGAATACAGCTCAGTGCCAGTGGATTGGCTAGCATGCATGAGGCCCTGGGTTCAATACAAATAACACACACATGCACATAAACACATAAAAAAAACCTTTTATAACTAACCTGATAGAAGAGTGTGCTAAATCCTCATCAGTGCCAATTGCTCTAAGGACATAAGAGGGTTCCAGGGATGCAGAGGTACAAGCACTGAGGAGAGATACACAGCTTTGTTCAGTTCAGCATCAACAACTGCTAAGGCACAAATTCCCAGTTCTTGCTCCCTCCCCTCAAGGTCACAGAATCACACTACAGGAAAACAAAACCATCTAGCAAACTAAAGGGCCCGATGCTGCCCTGAACATCCTGGGACTTGAACCTAGCTTCTCTGCCAAAAAATGACAGAGCATAATAGCCCACAGCTGGATCTGACAGAAAGAGGCATCTGAGAACCTTGTGCTCACTCCCCCAGACAGAAGATACTATCTGTACCAGCCCAGAGGGCAGCTAAACCATTGGTGGCTTTTGGAGCATCTTCAGTTCTGCAGGCCCACAGTAGAACTGCTAGTGTAAGCCTAGAACTGATACATATACCCCCGGGACTGCAAAAGGAATGGAATTCTCCCCCAGGAATCCCTGCTAGAGTAGTAAACTTCAGCCTATGCCTAGTCAGATAAAAAAGAGGATCTTTACTGTAAATCAAGAGCTCTTGTGCTTATCTTCTCCATACCAGGAAGCTTAGTAACCTGTATGGAACTCAGAAGCCAGGCTTAATGACCCTGCAACAGTTGTGTTTCACCTCACCTCCCTGAGGACAAAGCAACATCCTTGAGTGCCATCAGCAGGCTCTCCCCTTCCACATATGCAAAGGAAAGGTTGATACAGCCTAGAAGAGAGAAGGTATCACTGTAGAGGGGTTTCAGAATCTTAGCCTCTTTCAGAATGGGGAAGGAGAAGGCAAAGTCCATACCAGGATAGTGCTGTTCAGGGTTCCCATTCATCACCACATCTGGAAGGCTCTTCATTATCTTCTGTATTAACCGCTTGGCTAACTTTGAGATCCGCTTGTGGTCATACTAAGGAATAGGCAGAGGAAGACTAAGCACAATGACTACCAACCATCTGAGAAAACCCATAGTTCTAAGAGCCCTTCTCCTCTAACCAGATGTGACTGTGCATCAAACTCACCTATTGTCCTATGTCACTCATGAAGATCACTGTGCACCCAGCACTGAATACAGTGCCTACTGTGTGAAGATGCTCAGTAACTGAATACAGGATTCCAACAACCCAGAAACAAATCAGTTGATTACTACTAACAGGGCCTGAGTTTTACAGCCCGAAACACCTCCCTCAGAACAAGGGGATGGAAGCATCTGCACAGGGCAGGGTTTTCTTAAATCTCTTCCAGCAGAGATCTAACTTAGCCATCTTGGGATACCGCTAAATAGTAGACCAAGCACAGGGGAAGATGCAGTGGGAGGAAACTGCTCTCCTCATACCTCCATCTCTTGCTGTGCCACCTCACACGCAGCCCCCAGCCCCACCACCAAGGGTGTGGGCACTGTCCCAGACCGCATACCCCGCTCCTGCCCCCCTCCACTCTGTAGGGCCTCCACGCGTACTCGGGGCCGGCGGCGGATATAGATGGCACCAACCCCTGGAGAGTGAAATTTGTTAGAAAAAAGAAGAGAAACAGAAAAAACAGATGAAACAAAATATCACTTTTCAAAGGGATCAAAATATTATTTCAACTTTTCTATATTCTTAGCATTTTTTCCTGAAAAAATTGAGAAAAGAAAAACCCAATAAAAGTGTAATATTTAGCAAAATTTTTTAACATCATAAAGGTAGCAAAACAAAAAGAAAGAAAGGTAACTAAAAGAGGGAATAATTACCAAAATGGTTTAAAGTAGTCCTAAGCATGAATGAAAAGATATCACACATTGCAACATTATTTGTAAGAGCAGAAATATTAGAAATAGTTTAGATGACTACCAAAGCAATGCCAAATAAATTATGATATGTACATTCAATGAAATAGAAGCAGGTATATAAATGAACGAGGAAAGTCTTTCTGTATTGACACTATAAATCTTATAATATACATTGTTAGAAAAACTGGTCAAGAAGAGAATGAAGATATATTATGTAGCACACGCCTGTAATCCCAGCAATGGGAAGGCTGAGATGGGAAAATCACCAACAGCTCGAGACCAGCCTGGGTTACATAGTGAGTTCAAGAGGTGGGAATTTAGTTCAGTGGTTCTGCTGTCTGCTTTGCAAGCGCAGGGTCCAGAGTTCAATACCCAGTACCAAAAAAAAAAAAAAAATAATGAGTTCAAGGCCAACTGGACTACATAGCAAGACCCTATCTTTAAAAAAAAGATGTAAGTCTGGGGATTTAGCTCAGTGGTTCCACATCCTGCCTCTCAAGCACAAGGCCCCACGGTTCAATCTCTGATACCAAAAATAAATAAATACAATTTTGGGCCGGGGATTTAGCTCAGCGGTTCGGTGGCCTGCCTTGCAAGCGCAAGGACCCGAGTTCAATCCCCGGTACCAAAAAAAAAACAAAACAAAATAAATACAATTTTTTAAAAAAGATGTATTATGTAAAACTAGAGAAATAAGTGTATTATGTACATAATTATGTGCTGGGCAGTAGTGGCACACTTGTAATCTCAGCACTCAGCAGGCCGAGTTAAAAGAATGGCCACAAGTTCAAGGTCCTGAATTTGATACCGGTACCAAAAAATAAATTAAAAAAAAAAATGGCTGAAGATGCAGCTCAGTTTCTAGGTCTTGGGTCCAATTCCCAGAACTACCAAAAAAAATTTTTCAGCAGGACATGGTGGCACACGCCTCTAATCCCAGCCCTCGAGAGTCTGAGGTAGGAGGATCATTGTGAGATCGAGACTAGCCTGGGCTACACAGTGAGTTCCAGGTCAGTCTCAACTACATAGTGAGATCCTATCTCAAAAAAAAATTTTTTCAAGGTGGGCACAGTAGCACCAGTCTATAATCCCAACTACTTTAGAGGATAAGGCAGCAAGTCCAAAGCAAGCCTGGGCAATATAGACCCCATTTCAATAAATAAAAAAATAATGTGGGTTTTTTTGTTTTGTTTTTCTTTTCTTTTCTTTTAGTGCCAGGGATTGAACTTGGGACCCTGTGCTTTCAAGGCAGGCAGTGGAACCACTGAGCTAAACCCCCAGCCCTGTGGGCCTTTTTAAAAAACATCTCAGAAAAACACACTGTTCAACTTCTGAGAACCATTTGAAGAAGCTATTGTTCATCCTTCCAAAAGCTATTATACTTTTCCCACAAATGTACACTGAGATGAACCTCTGCAGACACAGAAAGTGTACTAGCGTGAAAAAAAATCCCTTCACTTTGATAGAGCAGTTGTGTTTGTCTTTTTATGGCTACTTCCAGAAAACAGAGGTCAACAGTCTCTTTCTAAGATCTGTTGTACACATTTAACCACCTAGGTATACAAGTGAGCAAAGTGGTTTTTTTTGTTGTTGTTGTTGTTGTTTTGGTACCGGGGATTGAACTCGGGTCCATGCGCTTGCAAGGCAGGACACCAAACCACTGAGCTAAATCCCCGGCCCTAGCAAAGTGTTTTTTGACTACAACTAAATGACACTTGCAAACTGGGCATGCCAAGACACACCTCTAACCCTAGCACTTGCAAGTCTGAGGCAGAAGGACTGCCATGAGTTTAAAGTCAGCCTGAGGTACATAGTGAGTTCCAGGCCAGCCTGCACTAAGTAGAGTGAGACCCTCTCTAAAAAACACTAAGTCGGGCTGGGGATTTATCTCAGTGGTTCCAGCGCCTGCCTCACAAGCACAAGAACCTGAGTTCGATCCCTGGTACCCCCCCTCAAAAAAACAAAACACTTAAGTAAATGAATAAATACACAACACTTGCAGACTACAAAGTATTCTCAATGTACAAGTTCCTCTGGCAACAATTGTACGTAGCTCAAATGACTCTAAGAAACATTTGTCAAAGGGTTTGATGACAGGATCAAAGAAGAGGAAATCTAGGAGGAGCTGATACCTTTAGGACCATAGATTTTGTGGCCACTGATGCTCATGAGATCAATTTTCATGTCAGTGACATCAAGTGGGATTTTTCCAACAGCCTGGGCTGCATCGGTATGGAAATACACCTTTCTGGATCTGCAAATCTGCCCTGAGGAAATAACAGGGGAAGACACAGTATAATGTTGGGAAGTAACCAGAAAATAGCCCACAATGCACTATAAATTGTCTCTACCCATTAATTACTGCTACTATTATAGTAAATCCCTTCACATTCCTACCTTACCCTTTCCTCCTTTCTCCTCCTCTTCTCCCCTCTTCCTCTCCCCAACTACAACCCTTCCCTTCTCTCTGTACTCTCACTCTAAACATCAAGGGTAAAGCACCAAATCAAAATCCACATGATGGGCCAGGGATTTAGCTCAGTGGCACCATGCCTACCTTGCAAGTGCAAGATCCAGAATTCAATCCCCAGTACCAGGGGGGAAAAACCCACATGACAGTCTCGTACTTAAGATTTTTCTTTTTTGAGACAGGGTCTCATTATGTAGTTGAAACTGACCTGGAACTCACTGTGTAGCCCAGGCTGGTCTCGAACTCACAGCGATCCTCCTGCCTCAGTCTCCCGAGTGCTGAAGATTTTTCTTACTACCTTTCAACAAGTCACATTATCTTTTAGAAACTTTTTTATTTAAAAGGGGATGGACAGATTTTTTTTTCTTTCTTTCTTCACTACAGGGGATCCAACTTGGGACCTTGTAAATCCCTAGCCCTGAGAGATCTATTATTTTGGTACGGGGATTGAACTCGGACCCTTGTGCTTGAGAGGCAGGCTGGAGACAGATCTTATTTTAATGTACATAAAGACAATAAAGGGCCAGAGTATGTGGTACATGCCTGTGATTCCAGCAACATAGGAGGCTGAGGCAGGAGGATCACAACTTCAAGCCTATCCTAGGCAATTTAGCAAAGTAAAATAAAAACTAAAAAAAGCTGGTGATGTAGCTTAGTGTGAAGGCCCTGGGTTCAGTTCCTAGTAGCAAAAAAAAAAAGAGAGAAAAAGAGGGAGAACATGACTGATTGTAGGGTGAAATCTAAGTGACGTTCTACAGAGGAAGACAGAGGTTTTTGTTGTTGCTGTTGAGTTTGTTTTTAATAATTATTGTTATTTTAACATGGGACATAGCTCAGGGGTAGCGCACTTGCCTGGCAAGTACAAAGCCATGGGTTCCATCTTGGCATCTAACTGATAGTAGGCTCAGTGCAGCGTGTTATAACTTATTTGGGGGCCAGGGATTTAACCCAGTGGTGCTGTGCCTGACTTGCGAGCACAAGGTCCTGAGCTCGATTACCAGAAAAAAAAAAAAATGTAGCTCAGTGATAGAACATTTGCCTAGCATGCATGAGGCTCTGGGTTTCAACCCCTGGGTATCACCAACAAACAAAAATTTTAAAAATAAAAAAGGCACTAAACCTAAATTCCAATATTGGTTATGCCACTTACAATGTCCATGAACAAGGTACTTAAAATTCTGATTCCCTTGATTTCCTTACTGTACATTATACTGTTAGAGCTGCCAGTCTATTCTTGTTCCTCAGAGGGATCCCAAGAGTTAGAGTTAAACCATAATACTCACCTATTTCTGCAATAGGCTGTTTCACTCCAATCTCATTGTTCACAGTCATAACTGAAACCAGGCTGGTATCTGGCTGGATGGCAGCATCTAGTTCCTAGGAATATGCAGAAGTAGGGGCTTTGCTGACAATCTAGGGCCAACAAAGCCCTCCCTTGTAGCAAGTCTTGAAAAAAGGCCTTTCACTAGGCATGGTGATGCATGCCTGTAATCCCAGCAAGAGGGTGAAGCAGGATTCTAGGTTCAAGGCCATCCTGGACCACAGAGTAAGTCTGAGTGCAGCCTGGGTTACATAGCAAGACCCTGTCTGGAAGAGAGGAGCAGAGGAGAGGAAAGAAAAAGACAACAACAACAAAAAAGAGGCTTTTCACTGTACCCCTATAAAAGTGATTAAAATAAAAATAATGAATGCCAGTAATCCCAGCATTTGGGAGGCAGAGGCAAGAAGATTGGAACTAGTTTGAGGCCAGCCTGACCTACATAATGAGTTCAGGGCCAACCTGAACCATAAAGTGAGACCCTGTCTCAAATAAACCAATAAATAAATAAATAAAGTGGGGCTGGTGATACAGCTCAGGGGTAGAGTGCTTGCCTGGCACACTCAAGGACTTTGATCTCCAGCGCTGAAGAAAATTGTTGGTGAAGGTATAGAGAAATCTACAATGGAATAACTACTTTAGAAAAGTATTTAACAGGATTTTTTGTTTTGTTTTGTTTTCTTTTCTTTTTATTGAGTTTATTGGTACTTTTTAGGTATACAGTACAGTTACATTCATTACTGGGATCTTGTACCTTTACATGACAGGTCTTGGTTCTCATTTTTCCCCTTGTCCCTGCCCTCCCTTCACCCCCTCCTCCCCTCCCCATTTACAAACACTTTATTTCCATTTTTTCATTTTCTCATATTTTTTTCTTTTCAACAGGGTCTTGCTATGATGCTAGACTCAAATGATCCTCCAACTTCAGCCTCACAAATAGCTGGATAGAGAGCTTTACCAGCCTCTGTTTCTTACACAACATGAAGTTACCATATAACACATTCATAACCCTCTTAGCCATTCATTCCAGAGAAATAAAAATTAAATTCACAAAAAACTTGTACAAAAATGTTTGTTCTTTTTCCCTCCCTCCCTCCTTCCCCCTTTCTTTCTTTCCTGCCTTCCCTCCCACCTTCCTCTTTGTCTTGTTTCCTTCTTTTCTGTCTCTTTTCTTTTGTGACAGGGTCTTGCTAAGTTGCTAAAATGCTTGAACTTGCAATCCTCCTATCTCAGCCACTCAGAATGCTGGGAGTACAGATATATGCCACCATGCCCAGCTCACAAATATTTTTAGCTTTCATACTAGCCAAACTCTAGAAACTTCCCAGTTATCTTTTTTGGGGGGTGGGTATCAGGAATCGAACTCAGGACCTTGTGCTTTCAAGGCAGGCAGCAGCACCACTGAGCTAAATCCCTGGCCCTTCCAGGTTCTTCTAATGGGTTCAATAACCTTTGGTACTTTCTGAGCTAGGTGGTATGTGCCTATAATTCGAGCACTCTGGAGGCTGAGGCGGGAGGATCACCACAAGTTCAAGGTCATCCTGGGCTACATTGTCAGTCCAATGCAAACCTGAATTACATAGCCAGATCCTGTCTAAAAAAACAAAACAAAACAAAACAAAAAAACCCTATGATACAGCTATAACACTACTATAGTACTAAGCAATAAAAAAGAACAAATTACTTACAACAGTGAATGAATTGTACATGCAGAATGAATAAATTTCCAAAGACATTTGTGGAATGAAAATGTCAACCCCAGGTTATGAACTGTATGATTTCACTTATATAAAATTATGAAATGATAAGTTCAAAGAAATGGAGAACAGGCCAGATGTGGTGACACACGCCTGCAATCCCAGCACTCAGGAGGCTGAAGCAGGAGAATCACCGGGAGTTCAAACTAGACTAGGCTGCATAGTGACTTCAAGACCAGCCTGAACTACTCAGGGAGACACCCTGTCTCAAGAAAAAAAAAAAAAAAAAAAAAAAACAGCAAGGAGCTAGAGATTCAGCTCAGTAATGCCACCACCTCACCACCTGTCTCACAAGCACAAGGTCCTGAGCACCATTCCCAGTACTAAAAACAAAAAAAAAGGAAAGAAAGAGCTACTGCTAACAACAGCATATAGGCAGGAGCCAGGCGTGGTGGCGCACACCTCTAATCCCAGTGCTCAGGAGGCTGAGGCAGGAGGATCGCTGTGAGTTCAAGATCACTCTGGGCTACATAATGAGTTCCAAGTCAGTCTCAACTACATAGTGAGACCCTGTCTCAAAACACAAAACAAAATAAAAACATATAGGCAGGAAACACGTCTGACTGAAACGTCATATCGTGAAGGAATTATTAATTAACTCACCAACATTTATTATGCCTCATCTGACACTGGGATAATGTAGGTGTTCAATATCAAATTCCCTCTTGACATCTTCTTGGCTTCCTTCATAGCACTTAATCATTTCATTTATGTGTCTATTTATATATTTAATACCCCCTTCACTGGAACATGAGCTCTATGAAGATGGACGAACTACTCTGTCTGGATCAACCCTCTCTCCCTATTGCCTGGCACTATGGCATAATAAGCAATACAAAGTGAAAGAAAGGTACTATGTTAAATATTATGAGAAATGAAAATCTAGCAAGGGATTAGGGATGTGGCTCAGTGATACAGCATTTGCCTAACATGTTCAAGGGCCTGGATTCAATCCCCAGTACCCACTAACCCCCTCACACACACAAAATAACAATAATAATAATAATCTAGCCAAGTGTGTGGCACACACCTGTAATCTCAAGCTACTCAAACTCAATCAGAAGGATACAAGTTTAAGACGAACTGGGCCACATAGTGAGTTCAAGCCACACACACACACATAGAGAAACAAACATACCCCTCCCCCTGGCTAGGGATATAGCTCAGCAGTAGAGAACTTGAAAAGCACGTACAAAGGCTCTAGGTTCAATCCCCAGTACCAGAGGAGCGGGGGGAAACTAACTAAACATAATTTTTTTAATTAAAAAAATTTGAAAACAAATATCCTACAAAACTGACATAAACCTGTGCAAGGTGGCACACATCTGTAATCCTAGGACTCTGGGGGCTAAGGCAAGAAGAGCACAAGTTCAAACATAGCCTGGGCAATTTAGCAACTCAATGAGACAAAATAAAAAATAAAATTAAAAAAAGGAGTGGGAGGAGCAGGGGAGGGAAAGAGAAGAGTTAATGAAGAAAAAAGCTGTAATATGTACATGTAACCATTTCCAAAGATGACTGTAAACTGTATGAATTGCACATATGTAGTCATAAAATGAAATTTTAAAAAAATTTTTAAAAGGGCTCAGGATATAGCTTAGGGTAGAGGCCCTGAGTTCAATCCCCAGCAGTGGAAAAACAAAAAGCATTTTAGGTTTAACAAATCCTCTCACCTCAGATTCCCATGTGCTAGTACTATAGGAATGTACGAACACACTTGGCTAAGAAATTTTAATGTCAGGCAAATCTCTCAGGATTTGTGAGTAGCGAAAACTCATTCAATGGGCTGGGTGTAGTAGCACAGCATGCCTAGAACTTCAGCATTCTGAGACACTAAGGCAGGAAGACCCATAGTCCAAACCCAGTCTAGGCAACTTAATGATTTAGCATAACTGTCTTAAAATTAATAAAAAAAAAAGGTGGAGCTACAGCTCAGTGCAAAGGTCCTAAGGATAAATCACACACACACACACACACACACACACACACACACACACACACACACACACACAAAACTTTTAGAAATAAAGTCCAAGGGCCCGGGATTTAGCTCAGTTGCACCACACCTGCCTTGCAAGTGTAAGGTCCTGAGTTCAATCCCTAACACAAAAAGAAAAGAAAGAAATAACGTCCCATGAGGATTTACAGAATTTGCTGAAACATAGTGGTTAGAGGACTAGATCAGGCAACACAATTAAATTCAAAAAGTGGCTAAGATTTAGGATTCAACCCAGCTAAAGAAATGGAGAAAGGCATAATTTCAGAGATAACATAAAGAAGAAGCTATAGTCAGATGTGGTGTTGCAGGCCTATAATCCCAGCACTCCAGAGGCTGAGGCAGGAGGATCGTTGTGAGTTCAAGACCAGCCTGGGCTACAGAGTGAGTCCCAGGTCAGTCTCAAATACATAGTGAGACCCTGTCTCAAAAAAACAAAAAAACAAACAAACTAAAAAAGAAGAAGCTATAGATATAAAGGTGACTAATGATTAAATATAAGAAAGAGAATGGCCCAGGAATGTAACTAAACTGTGGTGAGCTCACCTTGCTTTACAAGGGTCTGGATTTAATCCCACAAAAAAGAAGAAAAACGAGGAAAAAGAAAAAAGAGGGAAGAAACAATAAATGACAGAAAAGAACAGTTTAGAATTAAGGCTCTCTGATTACAAACTATGTATTAGGATTTGTTTGTTTGTTTGTTTGTGGTGTCAGAGATTAAACCCAGCACCTTCAAAATGAGCTATATTGCCAGCCATTTTTATCTTCAGGGCCTCAGTAACTTGCTAAATTGATCAGAATAGCCTTAGACTTATAACCCTCCTGCCTCAGCTTCCCAGAGTGCTAGGATGACAGGTGTGTGCCACCATCTCTAGCACATATTAGGATTTGTCTAGCAATGCTCATATCCAAAGTCTGGTAGACAAGATGCTTGTACTATCTACAATGGACAGGTCAGAAAATGGGCCAATAAGGATAATAAAACTGTATCTTCTCTTTGTTTGTTTGCAGTGGTAGAGATTTGTATTAGTTGCTTTTCTTATTTCTGAGACAAAATACCCAACACCCAAAGTTAAAGGAGGAAAGGTATATTTTGGCTCAGTTTGTAGAGGTTTCAGTTCATAGTGACTGGCTCCAAAGCGGGGTGGAAAGCCCAAGGTGCACTGCAGTGGAGAAAAAAAAAAGCAGCTCATGGCATGGAAGGCAGATGGCAAGAAAAGATGGCAGATGGCAGATTGCACCAAAAGCTGGAAGCAGCAAGCGATGGCAGCAGCCCTTTCTGTCCCTTATAGTTTAATTAGACTACATGCCTTTAGGATGGGTAGCACTCACACCCAGGGTGGGCCTTCCCATATCCACACCCAAAACTATGCCAAAATAATCAGTGGACTAAATTAGTAATCACACACCCTTGATCCCAGCATCACACACTCTATATCCAGCCATCTCCAAAAAGCCCCACCTATGACTGCCTGAGGCTTTGGGGGGATATCTAGACACAAGCCAAAACAGGATTGAAACCAGGACCTCTCAAATGCTTGGCAAGGACCCTATTACTGAGCTACAACCTCATCCTCATCCCTGGAAATCCTTTTCAGGGTGATAAGGGGCCTAAGTTCAAAGAAGGAAGAAGCCAAAACTATGCCATGGTGAGTGTGAATCCCTAGCATCAGTCACACACACACAGTGGCTCTCATATGAAGTGGGAAACACTTAACAAAGATGAAAAGCAAGTCTTTCAAAAAGAACAATACATGCTCAAGGGAAAAATATCCTTCTCTGTAAGATCTGTTTCTCTAAGCCCCACCTTTGCCATTACATTAAACTTTAAACTCTGGGAAAGGCTAAAGAGAAGGATTTACAGGCTGAAGCTCAGCTCCTCTTAAGTTGCCCCTCAAACTAAGGGCTGCTCCTACCTTTAGATCAATGATTCCACTCTTCTGCACTGGGAGGTAGGTGACCTGAAAGCCCTCTGCTTCCAGTGAACGGCAGGAGTCTAAGACGCATTTGTGTTCTGTCTGGGTGGTAACCACATGCTTTTTCCGTGACTTATAAAATCTGGCCACTCCCTAAAAAATTGATGATAGTGGAAGAAAACAGAAAAATGCTCAGAGACAATTATGACTTCAATCCCATTTATAAGGAACTTTTGTTTTCTGGTGCTAGGGACTAAAACAAGAGCCTTGCACATACTAAGCATACATTCTACTGCTGGCTATATCCCTAGTCAGTATTTGATTTTTTTTTTTTTTTTGTCCTGGGGATTGAACTTAAGAACACATGAGGCTTTGGGGGAACATCTAGACACAAATCATAACATTCTGCCCTTGGCCCCCACAAAGACTCATGTGGTCATAAATGGCTTTTTCAGAGGTAGCTGAATCTAGAATGTGTGGTGCTGGATTAAGGGCATGTGATTACTAAACTAGTACATTGACTGGTCTGGTACCACCCTAATCCCAGCAGTCTGGATAAGATAAAAAGAGCAGAAACACACTGTTAAGATTTCTTTGTTGCTTTGCATCCTTCAGTCTGCCATGGACTATTGCCCCTCCACCACACCACCCAACTTAGAGCCAGCTAAGTATGGACTAAAACTTCTATGATCTGTAAGCTAAATAAACCTTTCTCCTTTTAACTTTGGGTGTCAGGTATCATGCCTCAACAAAGAGAGAAAAGTACCCAATCAGAATTTGGTAACAGAGAAGTGGGGTTGTTGCTGTGATTGTACCTGGCCATGTGACTCATGAGCCTTTGGAACTGGCTTGTGGGAAGGAGAAAAGTTAGGAAAGATTTGGAGATGTCCACTGAAAAAGTAGAGCTGGACTGCTTTACACTTCACTGTATGGGAGATTCTACACAGAGCTCAGAAGACCAGAAAGCCAGTTAAGACCAGGCTCAGGAGGTTTCTGCTGGGAAGAAGGACTGCATTGGCTGTTGGACTCCAGATGATGTGTGCTATGTATTGGCAGAAAGTTGTCTGCATTTTGTTTGTGTCCAGAGACTTTGCCTGAGACCAAGGGTGGTGGACTAATGAATCGGGCAGAAGAAATTTCAAGGCAGTCTAATGTTGAGGTGGTGGCTACTGTAGAGGGCTTTTAGCCAGATTTATGTTGAAAATCAAGACCAGAGAACCCAGCAGAATAATTTAAAACATTTTGAGTTTGGCCAGAAAGGAAGCTCCCATAAAGCTTCAGCCTGCAAAGAAAGAACAGAGGAGATCTTGATTGGTGAGAGGGAACAAATAGAAAAGATGACCTGAAGGCATCATAAGAAACAGCAGGACTCCACCCTTTGCAGCATCAAAATTGCAAAAATGAAATAGTTTGCTCTGAGAAGAAAGCCCCAGAGCACCATATTCCAGAATGGTGGTGGCCTAAGAAAGTTTTTCCGCAGGATTTGGCTCACAGGCACTGGACCTGTAGAGCCAAGAAAGAAGGAAGCCTGGCTACTGCTCCAGCTGTCAGCAGACCTTGGCCTCATTCATATATGGTACTGGTTTTAGGCACATGTGGAATATAAGAGTTGTAGGGTCAGAAGAGCTTCCAAGCTGGGTGTGCTGGTGCACGCCTGTAATCCCAGTACTTGCGAAGCTGAGGCAGGAGGATGCTGCTGAGTTCAGACCAGCCTGGGCTACACAGTGAGTTCCAGAGCAGTCTGAACTACACAGTGAGACCATCTCAAAAAACAAACAAACAAAAAAAGCTTCCACCCAGATTTCAGAAGGCCTGGGAGGCCAGGCAGTGTGCCTCTGAGGGGGCAGTGCTTGAAGCCAATGGTGCAGTGGAGGCCCCAGAAGTTTGGAGAAGCCAGGTACGTGGACTGTCTGAGGAAAACTTCAATGAGGGAGCAGAGCCGGGCCAAGAGACAAGCCATGGGAGCTACAAGAATCAGAAGTGGCAGAGGGCCAGAGCTACCCAAGCCCATTGGAGTTGACAACTTGCTACAGATTGCCAGAGATGCTGAAAATGAAACTGTAGGATTTAACGTTTGCCCTGCTAGATTTTGGTCTTGCTTTATTCCCATTCCTTGCTGTTTGTAACCTTTGGAATGGAAACACCTGTTTTTTGCCATTGAACGTTGGAAGTTTTTAACTTTATTTTCATTTACACAGGGGCTTGCAGCTAAGAAATTTGTCTTAAATCTCAGAGGAGACTTTGGACTTGGACTTGTCAGCAATGCTGAAACTGTTAGGACTTTGAGATCTCTTAGAGATGGACTAAATTCCATAAGCATAAAGGAATGTACATGAGTCTTTGTGGGGGGACCAGGGGCAGAATGTTATGGTTTGGGTCTAGATGTCCCCCTAAGCCTCATGTGGTCATAGCTGGCTTTTTCAGAGATGCCTGAATCTAGAGTGTGTGTTGCTGGAATTATGGGCATGTGATCACTAAACCAGTACACTGAGTGGTTTGGCACCACCTAATCCCAGTAGTCTATATAAAATAAAAGGGGCAGAAAATCACTGTTATGGTTCTCTTGTTGCTGTTAGCTTGTGAGCACCATGAACTGTTGTTATTCTCCTCTGAGCTGACCCTCTGCCATGTGCCATTCTGCCTTGGCACCATTGTTGGATAAATGAATGAATGGAATGAAATGTCTACAAACTGTAAGCTAAATAAACACTTTTTCTTTTAACTTTCAGTGTTGGATATTTTGTCTAAGCAATGAGAGAAAGATAACTAACACACCATCCAACTTATCCAAGGAAAAGAAAAAAGAATAACCATGTGCAGAGGACCGTAATACTGATTATGCCCAAAGCAAGCTGTAAAGATGTAACCCTACAATTGGCTTATTTATAGACGTGAATCTGGGTGAAATCTACGTGCCAAGGTCAGAGTAACTCACACCCAAATTCTTGTTCCCACAACTCAAACTTTCTGCTAGAAGGACAATATTTTAATTACAATCATATATTTTGTCTATTTTGTCCCTAATTCAAGAATATTTTGTCTTGTCCTTTCTAAGCCTTGTTTACATTAATTTCCATAGAAACTGCATGTCCCCTTTACCCCAATTGATTGCCAATAAAAGTTAGTGCCTGGGACTGGCCAGCACCTTTGTTGGTTACACCAGCATCAGTCATCCTGGGACCTCATGTTTTCTTAGTTCTGTCTCAGCATATTTTTTTTCCTCAGGCCTGTGTCACACACTGGGCAGGTGGGGACTAGAGACTTACTGCAGGAGTCTCTGGCAGTCATGTATGGCATGTACCTGCAGTCCTAGCTACTCAAGGAGAGGCAGGAAAGACAATACATATTTTCCCTAATATGTGCAATTTTAAAAAGGTGGCATAAAGTACTAGACAAGAGAAAGAAAAAAAGGAGAGGGAAAAGGGGGTATAAATGAGAGTAATGGGGATAAAAGTTATTAATTGTATCATTCAGAGATAATACACCTAGGGCCAGGGATTTAGCTCAGTGGTGCCACCGCCTGCCTCCCAAGTGCAAGGTCCTGAGTTTAATCTCAGTACCAAAAAAAAAAAGAGAGATAATATGCCAAGTGACAGGTGTGATGTCATATGCCTGAGATCCCAGCACTCAGAGAGGCTAAGGCAGGAGGATCACAAGTTCCTATTTAGCTGGGATATTTCAGACACAAAATAAAGAATTATGAAGGGGTTGGGAGCTGAGCATGGTGGCAGAAGCCTGTAATCCCAGCACTGGGGAGGCTGAGGCAGGAGGATTGCCTTGGGTTCAAGGCCAGTCAGCCTGAACTACATAGCAAGACATCATTTTTAAAAAAATGGCTGGGGATATAGCTTAGTGGTGCCACTGCCTGCCTTGTAAGGTTCCGAGTTTGATCCCTGGTACAAAAAAAAAAAAAAAAAAAAAAAGGACAGGGAATAATATAGCTCACTGCCAAGGTTCTGGGTTCAATCCCCATTATCCACTACCACAGAAAAAGAGAGAGAGAGATGGAATTGTCAATTTTTCAAAAATGCATTTATGTACACAGATATCAAGAAATCCTCCAGAATGGAATTCATTTAACTTTGATTGAGATGCTGAACACTTTGTGTGTGTGTGTGTGTGTGTGTGTGTGTGTGTGTAAGAGTATTTTTTTGCTTAGGCGATTATGACATGTTTCTAAGCAGAGGAAATAAAGAATTGTAAGTATGTGAGATAATTACTATGTTAATTAGCTTAATTTTAGTAATCATTTAAAGGCCAGGGATTTAGCTCAATGGCAATATGCTTGCCTAGCAAGCACAAGATCCTGAGTTCAATCCCTGGTACAACACATACACACAAAAAATAATAATGATCTGTAATCATTTCACATTGTATGTTTATATTAAAATATCAGGTTGTATATCTTAAATATACATGTGATTTTCTTTGACAATTATACTCAATTAGAAAAAAAAAGTCTGAAGCCGGGTGTGGTGGCACACGCCTGTAAGCGCAGCACTTGGGAGGGTGAGACAGGTGGATCACTTTGAGTTCGAGGCCAGCCTGGGCTACATAGTGAATTCCAGGTCAGTCTCAACCACACAGTGATACCCTGTCTCAAAAAAACAAACAAACAAAAACAAAACAAAACAGAAGAAAAAAAAAGTCTGAGTCCATAAATTGGAGACCAGCCTGGGTAACACAGTGAAACCTTGTATCAAGAAAAAAAAAAATAACAAAGAAACTTAGAAGTGGTGGCATTCTCCTGTAACCTCAGCACTCAGGAGGCTGACATAAGCAGATCAAAAGTTTGAGGCCAGCCTGGGATACAAAGCAAGTTCAAGGCCAGCCTATAGCGCAAAATACTGGGTGGGGGGAAGAGAAGGAGGGAAGAAAAGGAAATTCATGTCTGCATGCCAAAATTTTCTGGAATAATGCTAAAGAAAATTAGTTTAGAATTAACTCTGTGTCCAGGCATAGTGGTGTATGCCTATAATCCCAGCACTTGGGAGGTTGAGGCAGGAGGATCACTGTGAAGAATCACTGTGACTTAGAGGCCAGCCTAGACTACATGAGTTCAAGGTCAGCCTGAAACAGAGAGAGACCTTATCTTAGGAAACAAAACAAAACAACCAAAAATCAGAATAAAACTACTTAGAAGCTGGGAGTATAGCTCAATGTTAGAAGTATGGTTAGCATATTGCAGGTCCTGGAAAAGCTACTTAGACCCAAATTATAACTACATAAAACCTATATGTTCACAGGCCAGGGATTTAGCTCAGAGGTGCTGCTTCCTGCCTTGCAAGCACAAGGTCCCAAGTTCGATTCCCCAGTACCAAGCAAAAACACAAACCAATCTATATGTTCATGAAGACAAAAAATATAAAAAACAAGTATTTAAAAATTGATTTATGCTAGGTGTAGTGGCTCATGTAAGTAATCCTAGCACACAGAAGGCTGCGGCAGGAAGATCACTGCAAGTTTGAGGCCTGCCCAGGCTACACAGTAAGTTCAAGTCCAGCCTGAGCTACACAGCAAGACCCTGTCTTAAAGAAAAAAAAAAAAAGGGGGCGGGTCAGGGATTTAGCTCAGTGGTACAGCCAGCCTTGCAAGTGCAAGTTCAATCCCCGTACCAAAAATATAAATAAAAAAGTAATTAAGAGGCAATAATAGTTATTCAGAATTTTATTCCCATTTCTAAACAATGTAACTTAAATAATGTACCTTCTTTCCTCCTTTCCTATCTTACCTATGGTGTGAAATCCTCTAATGGCACATATATATTTACTCCATCCATCCACCCAGGAGACAAAGAGAAGTAAAATCAAGGATCTTTTTAGCAACTTTTGGCCTAGTGCTGGTATGGGATCTGTGGAGGCTTCCAATACAAATAGTTTTAAGTTTTTAAAAATGCTCCCCATTGCATGCTGCGCCTGCCTGGCAAGTGCAAGGTCCTGAGTTCAATTTCTGGTACCAAAGTGAGTGAGAAAAGGGCCCAAGATGTAGCTCAATGGTGCTGAGTTTGATCTCTGGTACTTTAAAAAAAAACTTTAAAACTTTAAAGTTTGGGAAACTTCAAAAAAAGATAATACCTAAAAATGCTCCCCATTACAGAAATCATCACCACCTTTGGGAAGACTGCTATTTAGACTCAGATCTTCAAAATTCAAAGGAAAAATACCTCTCTGCTAACAAGATCAGGCACAGTGCTGATGACTCTGGAGCCCATCCCAGACCTCCTACATCCAGATGAAGGTCAGAAAAACCAACACTGGCAGCACAGTTGAGAGATAATGGTAAGAGCGTAGAGCCAGAATTTTGAACTTAGAGCAGACCACAATTTCTCAGGTCCTTGGCATTTACTCAATTAATCTTGGCCCAGTCAAATGTGATTATGTTCTGTGAAATGTCAATACAACTAATATGAGTGTCGTTTTACTTCCATTAGCATCAAGGATCTGTATGTTCCAAGGATAGAATGATCCCTGAATGAGTAAGAAGTGAATGCTAACAAAAGGCACCTCAAAATGGAGAGGCACTTCTTGCAAGCAGTTATGACCAGAAATAAAAGGACAGGCTGATAGGAAGGCAGCCTTTGAATCAAGTAAATAGGGTACAACTGCTAATAAGAACTAGGGAAATATGCCCAAGTAAAAAGATCCTGGACTTCATTGTTACTAATTGTTATTAGATCAAAAAGTGAGGGGGCTGGGAATTAGTTCAGTGGCACTATGCCTGTCTCGCAAGAGCAAGTTAGATGCCAAATACCAAAAAAAAAAAAAAAAAAAAAAAAAAAAAAAAAGAAAAAAAAATCAAAAAAAATATTAAACCCCCCGGGCTTGTTAACAAAAAAAAAAAAAAAAAAAAAAAAAAAGATGAAGCAGTTAATGTCTCAAGAGCCACCTCATTTTCGTATTCACTTTTTTTTTTTCGTGGGGGCAGGTACTGGGATCGAACTCAGGACCTTGTGATTGTGAGGCAGGCGGCAAAACCACTGAGCTAAATCCCCAGCTACCACCTCATTTTCTATCCAACTAATACACTGAATTTAAAGCAATAGGAAAATAAGACAAGATAGAGCAGACTGCAAAGGGCTAAAGAAAGCAAAAAAATCAGTGTGTGTCTTCTTTTCATACTAGGGAGGGGGTGGGTAGCTCAGCAAAATATCCATTAGTCTAAATGATTAGGAACACATATCTCCATAGTCAAGAAGGCCCAGATAGGCTATCAGCTTCCCCACGTTTTTCGTTTTTCTGGGGATCAAATCTAGAACCTTGCATCGCTACATAACCACTCTACCACTGAACCACACCCCTTGCCCTTTTCTTTTACCTTAATTGCTATGTTGTTGGATTCAGTAGCACCACTAGTGAAAATTATCTCACGAGGATCAGCTCCAATCAGAGATGCTACTTGCTGCAAGCCAAGAAAGATATGGAACATTAATTCCCCAGGGAGAAATGGGATTGTAGACACAGCTGGAACAGACATCTGGAGCAACAAGAGCTTCACTGCATTCTACTAGCTGCCCAGGAAGCTCTGCACTTACTAGGTCTGGCTAGGGTCAGAAAAGGGACAGATTCAATTACTTCTTTAATCCTACACTCTTTTTCAGCCCAAGACAAGCTAATAAAAATAACATTAGGTCATATGTTTTTGAAATCTACTTATTGAGCTCCTACAATGTAGAGTATTGAATTCTTACTATGTGTAAGTGTTATGTTAAACTTTACCAGCATTGTCTGACTTAATCCACCATACTAACCATAGAGAGAAGAATCTAATGCACTCTCCATTTGAAATGTGGAGAAATTGAGGCTTAAAGAAATTAGATAATTTGTCTAAACTAGAAAATGTGAGAACTAATCAAAAGCCTGTGGTCAAATTCCAAGACAGTTCTCTAAATCTCTTATACAAAGTACCCTAAACCATTTCCACCTCTATCCCATCTATCACAAAGGAAATGCCTCCCACAGGCTACTGAATCCAGTGATACTGGAACCTCAGACTCCTCTGTACTAACCTGGCGAGCATGTTCCATGGCTGCCTCACTCTCCCAGCCATAAGCATGTGTCCGTGAATGTGGGTTCCCATAGTAGTTGATGAGATAAGGGAGCATGGCATCAAGTACCCGGGGATCCTGAGCACAACAAAAAAGACATCAGTCTCTCTGAATCCATACTCAATACAAGCCCCATTCCACCACTTTGGACCTGCCAACCCTCCCTCAACACAGTGCTAACCCTTTAGTCACTGCCTAGTTAGGCCTCCATCTTCAAATCCCTCTATGACTAACCAAATATCAACCTAATATACACCTGCTCCCCATCTATCTTCAACCAGATTGTTCTACCATTCCTTTCTGGTAGTCAGTTTACAAACATTCTGACAACTGTTTCTGCAGATGTTTCCATTCCTACTAGACAATGTGATTTGGGGGGCTGAGACATGATCCTCCCAGCCAAACATCCCTTTTAACACACTGGTGAAAACTGGCATTAATATTGGAGTAGGAAAGCTAAGGGCAAAGCTCAGAGATAGTGCATGTGCTTAGCATGTGTGAAATGCTGGAGTCAATCTTCAGCACCAAAATACTAATACTAATTACGGGCTTATTGTGGGCCAGGCTGCTTTTTTCCTCCCTGTACTAGAAATTAAACCCAAGGCTTTCTCAGTTACATCCTACGCATACCACCTATTTTTTTTTTTTTTTTTTTTTTTTTTTTTTTTTTTTTTTTTTTTTTTTTTTAGTCAGGTTAAGGTGCTAAGTTGGACTTGAATGAGCTATCGCCCTTCCTCAGCCTCCCAGAGCAATGGGACTACAGGCCTGTGCCACCATGTCAATGTGCCTGGCTAGTCTGGCTAATTACAGAACCCTATTACTACAATGCCTGTACTGAAAGTGATTTGACCAAGGTCAATAGCTAGTAAGTATTAGATTTTCTAGTCAACTGGAAGTAAAGCCTATTGACTTAATTGTTTTTCCAGCACAACTAAGCAGCTCTCACTTCTATAAAGATGCAGCCTATCTGTGAATTTTCACTTCCAATAAACAACCTTGGGGTGAAAAATTTTTTAAAAACCTTGGAGAATGCTGTCCCTCTATCCTTATTTTTAAAGCATAAGATTTATTAGATTTTAGATAAACATAATGATAATACTCATCATTGTCCTTCCGTCCTTACCAGAGGAGTTGTAGCTTGCACATCCATATAGAGAGGTCGCAGCCCTAACTCTGCCTCAGGGGCAGAGGCTGCATCTGTGGGTATAGACGACTGGTGAGCATTGTCTACAACTGACAAAAAAAAAAAAAAGAAGTACACAGTGGTCAAGAGAGCGAATGTAGCTATAGGCACAGGGCGGAAGAGCTCAAAACTGAATGGAGGTGAGATGAGACATTTAGGAGACGCTGGGATCAAATCTCAAAAGCCAAAGGCAAGCACACTGTAAAAGGAGGTAAGGGGCAAAAGCAGGTTCTTATAGGGGGTCACTGAGAGCTAGCTTCAAATTGTCTTGATGGGAGACAGAAGCACGCTAAAGGGAAAATCTGTTTAGAAGTAATTGGAGACACAGCGGGTGATATCGCCTTCAAAGGTTACTGGATGGTCAAAGGCCTTGACCAGCACCTCTTAATAGCTGACCAAGACACATGAGAAGGATGAGTCCCCCAGATTCTGGGGGCGTGCCAAGAAGGATCTGTGGGGCCGTTCAGAGAGCTTCTCTGAGAAAGCACGAAGGTGCAGGAGAGAAGGGTTAGAGGATATGGGAAGCAAGACAGGGCAGGGAGGCTCGGGAATAGTTGAGTGCGTAGCATCGCTAAGGGGAAAAATCCGCGAGTCCCGGGAAGGTGACAGCCGGCCGGACCAGAGGCGTACCACGCAGGCGCAGTCCTCGACAAGGCACCGCGGGCCTCAGCCCCGGAGCCACCGTCACCGACGAAGCCGCCCGCCTCCAAGCGGCTCGTAGCAGCATGGTAGAAGTAGCAGAGACCACCACGTAAAGGGGCCGCAGTCTTCTGCCCCAAGCTCCCGGAAGTACTGCCTCGCGCTCCGGAAGTGATCCCTCGGGCCGCGAGCGCCCTCCGGCTCCTTTTCCGTGCGACGTAGAGCTGAACTACCGAGGCCGCGAGCGAGGTGAGGTGGGGGCGCCCTGAACCCGGCGGCGTCGCGCGATATCGCGTTTTCAGCGCGGAAAGGGTGGTGGAGTTGGCTACGAACTAATGTGCTTTCTTGATTCTCTTGAAACCTTGGGCGCGCTCCCCGACCCGACCTGCTCGGGGCAAGCGGCTAGGCCCGCACTCCCATATATCCTTCGCAACCCACAGATGCCGGTGGCCGTGGGTCCCTACGGACAGTCCCAGCCAAGCTGCTTCGACCGCGTGAAGATGGGTTTTGTGATGGGTTGCGCCGTAGGCATGGCGGCTGGTGCGCTCTTCGGCACCTTTTCCTGTCTCAGGTGAGGCTCGAGGGCGGTGATCTCTGGGCTGGATTTACGGAGTTTCTCCAGCCGAACTTGCGTAGAACCTACTTCGTTCCAGTTACCTCGCAGTCTTCTAGCGAGTGAGACTGATTACCTCTTTCGGGTTGTAAGCATAATGTTTAGGAATCTGAGTTTTGGAGGCCGAATGATTTTTTTGATCTTTTATTTGTTCAGTGACTTTAGGCAAGTTGGAGGCTGTTTACTCACTTATATGTGAGAATGGTAATACCTGTTTTTCTAAGAATCAACGATTTGCACAGAACGTGTCACATAGCAAGTGCACAGTTATTACTGCTTTTGCTACTTATGTTTATCTCTGGGTATGCATAAAGAAAACAAACGAGGGGTGGAAATGTAGCTCAGTGATACAGTGCTTGCTTAGTTTGCCGAAGGCCCTAGGTTTGCTCTCCATACCGAAAAAAAATATATAAGCAATTTGCAACAAGGTGTGGTGGCGCATGCCTGTAATTCGAACACATGGGAGAGGCTGAGTCAAGTGCAATTTTGTGACTTTGAAAGGGAGAGGACGTTCTGCTCAGCATTTAAGCGATGTGCTAGGTAGGTCCTGTAGTTTTCAGAACAGTTCCGTAGATATTTTAAAGCCTGCTTTACACTTGCCTCAGAATTGGGTCTTAAACCCAAGTTCAAAATAATTACCACCAGGAAACCATCTAAAAGACAGATGTAGGCATGCAAAAATCACATGCCTGTAATCTGTTACCCTCGAGGCTGAGGCAGAAGGAACAAAGGTTCGGGACCAGCTGGGGAATTTGGTAAGACCATCTCAAAATGAAAAAAGCTGGGAGTGTAGGGCTCCCTGATTCAGCGACTCTTTGGGGGGGGCGGTTTGAGCAGCAGAGGAAGGAAACATCTGTTGGATCACATGTACTCTTGAGGCAAAAGCAAGTGTTTTACCTGCCCGTGTACTTCAGTTATATGCGGTCTCCCGTAAAATTTAAGGCAGCTATGACATTCATCAAATTAAGGATCCTTTAGGATCGTTTTTCTTGCCTCTGGGGTAAGAAGTAACTTCTTGAGAATGAGATAAAGAGCTTGCCAAAAATGCAGACTGGCAAAGTGAAGTTAAAACTCTTCCCTGTATTTTTGTTCCCGATTGGTCCCATCATCTTGGTTTCCTCCTCAGGATCGGAATGCGGGGTCGGGAGCTGATGGGCGGCATTGGGAAAACCATGATGCAGAGTGGCGGCACCTTTGGTACATTCATGGCCATCGGAATGGGCATAAGATGCTAACCAGGGCTGTGGTTGCCTGCTATGTCTACACCTTCCCATCCATCTCAGTCCCTGTATTATAATAAAAGTCTCTTCTTCTCTTTCTGAGCCTATTATTATTATTATCATCCAGTTTGGCCATGGATTATGTGAACAGGTAGGCTAATGAATAGGCGTGGTTTACAGCTTGGCTGTTCACCAAGACTAAACTAGGTGGTGCCTGAAACATTCCATATAGTCTAGTAAACATTGCTCAACTCAATCTTGTAAGATTGATGCTATTATGAAAATCACTAAAGTTCCTAAATATCAAGAACTTCCTGCATAAAGTTATTAACTTGTCCTATTCCTGATATTATTGTACATTGAGATTGTTCTGCTGGCTTCATTATACATTTAATTTTGAAAAAACCATGTTTGTAGCTTCACAAGATGCCATCAACTTCCCCACTTTGACCTGCATTACCTCTCAAGTATTAATCAACTTGATAATCAATGTTGAGATGAAAGAAAATAAATGCAGCTAAAAGCTCTTAACAACAATGAAACATAACCGGAAGTTATTGCAGCTAGACTTTTCAGACTGAAGTTAGGGACCTACAAGATTTCACTAAAAATAACCATTTTGAAAAGAAACGAACCATCTTTTCATGTATAATCAATTCTGACTTTCCTGTGCTGAAAGGTATATTTTGGTAATCCCCTTCCCCCCCCCCGTACTGGGTATCAAATGCCAGTCCTTGCACTAACAATGGAGGCAATGGCCACCACTGAGCTAAATCCCTGGCCCGGTAATCACTTTTTTAAAAAGATATCAACCACCAAAAAACACATTTGGTCTAGTTTCCTAGAGGGAAAATAAATTTGATAGTCTTTGGTAAAAGGGCTAAGGAAACTCGGTAACAGATTTGGGTGGAAGATGGGAGACATCCTTGTGGAAAATGTCTATTCCTCCCAAAATCAGTTAACTCGAACCTTGAAACCTCACCCAGATTATAAAGATATAAAAGCTAACTAGTATTGCTTGTCCAAAATAAAGTTGATCATAGATTTGCAGTTAAAATGGTAAAGGCTTGCCTGCTGCCCAAATGGAGTATAAACTCAAAATGCCTTTCAAGCAATACTGTACTTAGGAAACTAGTTTGAAAGCATTTTGTGAAAGACACTCCACACTCCAGGGCCCCAACAAGATGGCCATAATGCACCAAATGCCCCAAAATTCCCAGGCTAAACACTTTCGGCTAAAAAATTTTTTGTTCACCCTCTATCAAACTTGAATACATTATCCTAAGATACTGTGCTAAACTGTAGAGATAATACTGTAAAGGAACTGACAGGGATGACAGCTTGAGGGCAGGTTTCTCCAGATACTTATGAAAAATTATTTTCACAAAGATCAAGCACTAAAATATTCCTACAAGTCAAATAAGTTAATATATGCTATTCAAGTTTCTGTAACTTTAAAACCATTTGATAAATGAAGATTTCCTGTGGCCTTTTTAAGAGAATTTTATTTGAGTGGTTCTTACAAAGATTTGTTGCAATATGAAAGTCATTTGTTTGATAGAAATATCAAGCTGTCTTGTCAAACACACTGAAGTAACCCAAAAATATATTTCAGAGCTCACAGAGCTTAAAAAGCAAAGATTATATGCAACCAGACAAAACCTATTTCTGCATTTCCTTTTCTCCCTCAGACTGCTTACCTTGCCAGGCTGTTATTAAACATTTTCAGGAAATGCAGGGATCATTTTGTTTGGAATCTTAAGACACACCAGAACACATAGTATTTACAAAGAAATGCTTACAGATACATTAATTGAAAAGTTACCATCAAGAAATATAATTTTGAATCTCCCTTTCTTGCCAAATGATCAGAATGGAAGATGAGATGCTAGTCAAACAGCCCTTTAGCTGACTTGAATTTCCATATACTAAATGTGTATTTTAGAAACCTGCTATAAACCATGAGCCAAATATCTACTTAGTGAAATGCAACTGCTGTGTAAAAAGTTAGGCTTCGGAAACATTAAAAACATTACATACCTGTCTGCCTTTTTACAGAAAGTACGCTTGTTCCCCTAGAGCTATTCCTATAGATCCTTAATGTAATTTTCTACATGAACATTTAAAAAGGCAGAACAAGAGAAAAGCTTTGTATACACTGGGGTTTGCTAGTTAGGGAGAATGAGCACACTGCATTCCTGTTAACGTTTTTATTTTCTTCAAGGTAACAGGAATTGTATACAAATGACAGTAGACCCTTGCCTCTTTATTTTTTTTTTTTATCTAAATAAAAGGATGAATTCTCAAGAAAAAAAAGCTATGTACATAAGGGACTTTATCTTGCTTCATCGTCTACTTGGAACCAGTAGTTGTGTTGCCGTCATAGAATCAGGAAATAGGTTGTGGTAAGTTGGAAGAGGTACATATGCTGCTGTTATCATTTTACCTGTTGAAAGAAATAGATATGCTGGGTTTAGCATTGTGACTTAGGTTTAAACCCTTAATAAGAATTTCACAGGAGGAAAAAAACTCACCAGCAAACCACCTGCCATGCAATGCATTGACAGCAGCAATAGCTGCAGCAATTGATGGGCACTTCACATACACATTACCCTAAAGCACAAAAATGAATGATTAAAGTTATATATAATATGCATTCAAATGTTTATTCATAGTGTCTGCACAAAAAACACATTAAACAAAGTGGATACCCACAATTTTATTAACAAATGATTTACATAGCAAATTGCCAAAATACCTTTTCTCTGTAACTTGTAAGCTACAATTGAGTCAAAATGCCTGAGCTTTTCCAATTACATGAAACTGAAAATACTATGGGGCAAATTTTTAAGTTATTTCAGAGAATTTATCTTGTAAGTATGTTAAAGCTCCTTTCAGAAATAGTCATTAATGGGATACAGGGATCATAATCTATCCCAAATCTGTGAACAACACGAGAGAAACAACATGAGAGAAACATCATTAATTTTAAAATATCACAATACCTGAGCAGAATTCTTGTCAACATATATATGAATAAGTTTGTCAACATCATTAATTTTAAAATATCACAATACCTGAGCAGAATTCTTGTCAACATATATATGAATAACTCCTCCATGTTTATTACATTCTTCAATCACATCATCCTTAATCTCTGTGTCCCATCCAACTTCTTCTTCTCTGTAACAAAGCATTAAGCTATCTTAAAATACTATTTGAACTAGCAAAATTAACTTACATTCCTAAGTATCAAAGGCATTTTAAAGAGCCAGGCACGGTGTCTAACACCTGTAATCCCAGCAGTCAGGAGACAGGAGGATTACCACATGTTTAAGGCCAGCATGGGTTACAAAGCAAGTTTATGGTCAGCATGAACTCACAGTGAGACCCTGTTTCAAAGAATAAAAGCCAACACTACTCTTTGTATTTTAAAAAATTAGCTATATTAACACATATACGCTGTTAGGGAAAATTATAAAAAACACGGTCACACACATTTCTAATTCCAGTACTTAGATCACCGTGAGATTGAGTACAGCCTGAAACACACAGTGAGATCAAGGCCAACCTGAACTACATGAGCCCTGTCACACCCCCCCTCAAAGAACAAAAACAAATCCAAGGTTTTTGTTTGTTTTTTGAGACAGGGTCTCACTATGTAGTTCAGACTGCTCTGGAACTTACTATGTAGCTCAGGCTGGTCTTCAACTCACAGCGATCCTCCTGCCTCAGCCTCCCCAGTGCTGGGATTACAAGCATGTACCACCACACCTGGCAATCCAAGGTTTCTGCATTGGTAAACTATGAATTTTTTTTTTTCCCCTTTGGTTTTTTGAGATGGGGTCTCACTATGTAGTTGAGACTGACCTGGAACTCCCCACATAGCCCAGGCTGAATACTGGGATTACAGGAATGTACCACCATGTCCAGCTATGAACTAACATTTTTGAAAATCATGTTGGCACATGCCTGTAGAACTCTGCAAAGTTGAAACAAAAGGTTCCCAAAGACTGAGTCATGCAGTTTTTGGGTGGGTAGCCTGGCCATGAACTTCCACTACTCCTGCCTCAGCCTCACAAGTCACAAGTGCTAAGATTATAGGTGTGCGATATCATGCAAAGCCAACATGTAGTTTACTGTGAAGGCTGTAGGTCACACAAATACCATGCTGTTCTTAATTATTAAAATTGTATAAAACAACTTATCAAAATAAAACAACCCTTCGTACATGAAGTTTTGTTTTTTGGTACAAGGGATCAAACGCAGGCCCTTGCACTTGCGAGGCAGGTGATGAAACCACTAAACTAATCCCCGGTGACATTAAGATGTGATTTCTATTTTTTTTTTTTCTTTTGTGGACTAGGGACTGAAACTGTGGCATTTCAATTGTACTATATCTCCAGCCTTTTAGATAGGGTTTCACTAAATTGTTAAAGCTGCCTAGGATAGGTTCAAACTTGAAATACTCTTCAACCTCCCGAAATGGGGGGATTATAGGCATGCACCCTATATCTGGGTTGATTCCCTATATTTTAAATGACAGAAATCAACAAGCGATGAACAGAGCTTGAAATAAAGTGTTTCTAGGGTACAGGATTTAGCTCAGTGGTTCTGCTGCCTGCCTCACAAGCACAATATCTGGAGTTCGATCCCCAGTACCCTCCAAAAGAAAAAAAAATAGTGTTCAAATGACTACAAAGTTAACAGAAGCATTACAACATATGCTTAAGCATATACAAGGCATGAAGATCTATCCATCCATAGCACCAAAGCAAAAAATTATATATAAAAATTCACACCCTTTATTACAGAAAAACTTAAAAGCATCCTTTTCTAGCATAAGATGAAGAACTTTTAAATTTCAAAGACTAAAACAAATGAGAAGTAAAGTGACAATGGATACTGTGCAAATTTTACAAAAAACTTGGAAGGTGAGAAGGATGAGAGGAAGGAGAAATAAAAGACGTGAGACATGTATTTCAACTCCCCATAATCGTTGTAATAATTGTGTACTAATACAAATATTTTAAAAAGCTAAATACTATCAGGGCTCAAGGGGGCTCAAATGGTTCAGCCACCTGCCTTGCAAACAAAAGGTCCTGAATTTCAGGCCTGGGATTTAGCTCAGTGGTGCCACTACCTGCCTTGCAAGCACAAGATCCCGAGTTTGATCCCCAGTACAAAAATAACATAAAAACATAAATATTTAAGAAATTTGTATAAAAAGCTGAGCATGGCAACACACCTATCCACCCGTAATCCCAGCACTTGAGCAGTTAAGAGAGGACTGTCCCCTAAATTCAGGACTGTCCCCTAAATTCAAGGCCAGGCTGGCCTACATTAAAGTTCAAGCCATGCCTGAACTACAAAGTGAGACACTGCCTCAAAAAAACAAATCAGAGCTGGGCGTGGTGGCGCAAGCCTGTAATCCCAGCACTGGGGAGGCTGAGGCAGGAGGATCGCTGTGAGTTCGAGACCAGCCTGGGCTACATAGTGAGTTCCAGGGCAGTCTCAACTACATAGTGAGACCCTGTCTCAAAAAAACAAAACAAAACAAAAAACAAATCAATAGGGTCAGGGATTTAGCTCAGTGGTTCGGTGTTGCAAGCGCAAGGACCCGAGTTCAATCCCCGGTACCAAAAAAAAAAAAAAAATCGATAGAAGGGAAGAATAAAGAAGAAAATAACCAAAAAAACCACCACCAGGGCATGGCAGCACACACCTGTAATCCTAGCACTCGGGAGGCTAAGGCAGGAGAATCACTTTGAGTTCGAGACCAGCATGGGCTACATAGTGAGTTCCAGGGCACCATCAACTACACAGTGAGACCCTGTCTCAAAAAACACTAACAATAACAAAACACACACATACACGACATACAATCTTAATTTTTGTTGTTTTGGTGGTACCAGGGATCAAACTTAGGACCTTGTCCTTGCCAGGCAGGTACAGTGCCACTGAGCTATATCCCCAGCCCAATCTCATTTTATTTCAATTCCAATCGAACAAATGTATCTAAAGAAAATAACTAGCACTATGCATAAAACTTATGCTAATATCCTCAAAATCAATGCACTGTTTCAATCATAAAATATTACCTAAATGTTAACATTAAGGCTTTCACACTTGACAGCATACTTACGTTTGAGGATTAAACATGTTAGAAAGTTGGAAACACTGTGTTGCAAGGGGTTGCACAGAGGCAGCTGCAGCTAAAGCTGAAGCTAAAAAAGATTGAGAGAGAAATTAGTTTCATGGAAAACACTGTGAGTGTCCCTCATAATTAACAACTAAAAAAAATCCCAGTGGGTATAGGGATGCCACTTCATCAATTTATCTTCTCGAGATAGTTTCTGATCACACTAAGCTACCTTCTGAAATACTGTTAAGCATGACTATACTTTATTTCATCTCTCGAAACAAACACCAAGCAAATAATTACTATATTGCTTAGTAAAGACAAGATAAAAAGGCTATACATGTTTAGTACAGATTTTTTCTTCCCATATATTTTCATTTAGTAGCTGGGAAAATTCTGATGTAGATTACACTCAACTTTAATTGCCAGACAACTGAGGCAATCCTACATTAAAATAACAGACATTCAGAAATGTGCAAGTAGTGCATTTGTAATGGAATTTAAACTTCTGATCTGTAGCAATTCAATTAAACAAAAATCTCAATACATAATTCAGAAAGAATAAAACCAGATTGATCTTAAGGACTGACATGAATTTATATAAAAATGAGGGAGATGATAAAAATACAATCCTTTAAAATCCCAAATAAATCAATACCCATCTGTACTTCTCAGTTTTTGCCCATGGGCCTATACTTTTTTAACAAATGAAAATAACCCTTAGTCAAAATAAGTTTTTAAAAAATTAAGTTTTAAAAATAAGATTCATAAAATCAAACATGTAAGATTTCACTTCATCAGGAAATAAGCCCTGCAATAAATTACTGTTGGATTGTGTCTATTTTAGGTACAATATTAAAAAATACTAAAAAACCTGGGCCCTCAGAAAATAATTCCTATATTAAATTTGTTTGTTTTGTTTCGGTTTTTGAGACAGGGTCTCACTATGTAGTTGAGACTGACCTAGAACTCACTTTGCAGCCCAGGCTGGTCTCAAACTCAGTGATCCTCCCGCCTCAGCCTCCCAGAGTTCTGGGATTACAGGCAAGCGCCACGACACCCAGCCTAGCCCTATGTTAACGGTAGATTGTATTTTATCACAATTTAAAAATTACTAAAAAACCTGGGCACACTACTATATGCCTATAATCCCACCTAAGGCTTGAAGCACAAGGATCTCAAATTCAAGCCCAGCCACAAAGCAAAGAAATGTCTGAGAATATATCCACAAGTGCTAAAGAGGAGCATGTATCTAGATATGCAGTGTTAACTACAGTAACTTAAAAATACTAGACATTTGGGCCAGGGATGTAGCTCAGTGTGGCACAACACCTGCCCAGAAAGCATGAGGCCCTGGATCAGTTCCTGGTACCAAAAAAGATTAAAAAAGAAAAAATTGTAAAATTGAAATTTAAAACACACACATGAAATTAGAGCATTTTCCAAGAGTTGCTCTAATGCTTTTATGTGATTTGCAAAAATAAAACCAGTAGCTATTACACAACTCACCGTTATCATATTATCTGACCAAATCTCATTCCATTGCATAACAACAAACAAAGCTAAGGATAAAACAATGCATTAACAAATGATAATTAAAATGAACGATCACCTGAGGAAGTATCAGAAATGTTCCATTGAACATAAGACGGTGCATGAAATATCAGAAAAGAATGATTGTTTCTGATAGAATTACAAATGCTTTTGGCTAGTTTACCCTAAAGAAACTTCTCTTTATTTCCTTCAATAAACAGGTATTTTTTTACATAAAGCTTTGCTTTAAATTAAAATGGTGAAATTCATAGAAAATTCTATTGGGGGAAAGTTTTAAAAATTCATCAGAGTAGTTGGGCACAATGCTGCAACACCTGTTGTCTCAAGTTGCTCCAGAAATGGATGAAACATTGCATGAGCTCAAGGGTTTAAAAGAAGACTAGGCTGTTTAAGAAAAAACTGGAGACCAATCTGTGTACATTATCATAAATCAAATACAAGAGTACTTGGTAAAACCAGAAATTCTTAGTGAAATAGCTTAGGGAGAACTTTATTTTTCTATATTTAAAATTCATTATTTTATGAGTTATGAATGCTAAAAACATACTGAAAACCATTTAAAAAAATTCACTGAGTACCACTGTCTCATTTGCTGGAAAAGTTAAAATAATTCTTCACCATCAAGAACAACATAGACATTATCCCCCCACCCCCCGCCCGTTTTTTGAGACAGGGTCTCACTATGTAGTTGAGACTGACCTGAAACTCACTATGTAGCCCAGGCTGGTCTCAACTCACAGCGATCTTCCTTCCTTAGCCTCCTGAGTGTTGGGATTACAGGCAAGCGCCACCACGCCTGGCCATATACATTTTTCATATAGAACTATTTCTCTATACAACTTTACATATATCATTTAAAATGATGATCCCAAACCTGAGCAGCAAAATGTATTTTCTGCCAAATGCAGGGATTTACTTCATACTTAAAAGGAAACCAGCCTGCTTTTATGAAAAGTTTAAATATGCATGCAATTATGTCTATAAATAAACCTATTCTCAAGGCTTGATACTTACATAAATTACTGACAGTACCATTCATAACAAACATTCATTTTTTTCCCCGATTCCTAATCTGATTAAAGTACAGATTATTCTATGTTCTGAAAGATACATCTACTAAAATTATCACATGAAGTACTTCATTTCTTTACTTTTATAAACAACTGCATTAACACTTAGACTTGATAACCACAAATCATACAAAGGTGAGATGGGTTTTTCTGGTGGTTTTTCAGTGTTCAGGGATAGTGCTAGTGTGCTAGTCTGGTACTCTACCACTGAGCTACACCCTCAGGTGAAAGCTGAAAATTTTCCACAAGCTAATGCTAAAGCATGGCCATTTTAATATTCTTTATCCATTAGTGGACTGTATTAAATTATTTCACTAGAAGAGTGTTACAATACACACAACACACACACACATCCGTCATTCTGACAAAAAAAGATACAAAACAGTATACCAAATGGTACAGACAACTAAATCTTGCAGCATTTAATTCTATTTCAAAGACAAAACAAAAAACAAAACAAAACAAAAAACCCAGTTCAACTCACCTTCAGTCTGTTGGGAAAGTCGTGTTTGCAAATCTATAACAAAAGAGAATTCTACAGCTCAGTGCAGGAACAATGAAGAGCCTCAACTAACAGGGTAAATGTCAGGAAAGCATTAATAAAAGAGGACTACCACAACAGGGTTTATAAAAATGAACTTAGCAAAACCTGGCAGCAAAACCTCCTTCCCCATTCCTCATTGACAAGGTTTTGAGGCCTTTTTTCCCCTTTCACCCTAGGAATCTTATGTGTTCTTCCTATTCCTAATTCTTCATATCTCAAATGCATTCTACTACACTATTCTTTGGTTGGAAATAATGGGAAATGGGGAAAGGGGATCACACCGGTCAGATAATGGCTGAAAAACCCTGATCTTGAGAATTCAATTCCAAGTACTTAGAGATTTCAAATATTTAATTTTTAAACATCAATGGCAGTAAGCATTTTATACTTTAAAAAGTGAACACAATAGTAAGAGTCAAAAGTGTAACGATCTGCCAATTTTTAAATGAGTATCATTGGAAAAGATTTTTTTGAGATTGTAACATTTAACTTGTCATGTCTACTACAGAGTGACAATCTGAGTAGTACTAGGGTTTCCTGACATCTGAAAATTCAAAAAGGCAAAATGAGTATTATGGAGTTTATTATAATCTATATAATACATGAAAAATATAAACATCTAGTTACTCTGATTTTCATAAAAATGTGATTCAACGGGATTTCTTTGTGGGTATAAAAATGATCATAAAAAATGGTCAAAATGTAAAGGGATCTGTACCCCAAGTTATACTGGGATATAATACCTGGGAAGGTGCTCAAAAGTAGCATCTCAAGGAGCTGAAGAAATATTACTGGTGTATACTGAAGGAACTTGAAGATATGACCATAGGTACACAGTCAAAAAACTTTTAAATAATAACACAAATTGACTTTTTTTCCTAAAATGGGAAAAAAATGTATTGATATCAGAAATACATGCTATTAAGTATAAATGAATCCCAATCAACTTAATTGATTTTCTAGGCCATTTCTGAAAATTAGGAAACAAAGCATGGATTTCATTAGTATCTAATCTATCTTAGCAAAGGCCAATTAAGCTAAAAGAATATGAATGTAGTATGACTAAAGAGTAGTTTCATAACAAGAGCTTTAAGGACACGGGGACTAGAACCTCAATCACAGTAAATACATATGAATGTGTTATGTGTAAAATCTTCTGTTTTTCTCTCATGTGATCCTGGGGAATAAACCCGGGCCTTATTACTAAGATATTTCCATGACCTTTTTTAACATGTCATTTTGAGACAGGGTTTACCCTAAAGTTGCTAAATTCCCTGGGGTGGGCTCACAGCCAAACAGAGTAAGGGGGAAGAGAGGAAGCCCTATGTGTAATGATTAGCATTCTGGACAGCAATGTCCATTTACAAATATTTCCATAAAAATTAAGTGTTTATTATTCACTAAGAATTCACGAGTATTGTAAAAGAACAAGCAATCTTTAAAATCATCTCAATAAACAAAACTAAAAGGGAACTTGTATATAATCTATTATACAAAGTAGTGGATATCTCCAGAGACACATATGGACATTTAGAATTTCAGTTATCACAACCAGTCAAATTTAATACTAACTACAATGACTGCCTGGGAAGCTACCGTCCTACACTTTACAAAAAATAACAAGTGATGAAGATTACAGGACCTGACACTGAAAGTATCTGAAGGTATTTGAATAACAAGCAATGTACTTAATATCCAAAGTACACCATTAAAAAAAAAATCATATCACTGTCGATTCCATGAAGGAAGGAAACAAATTTTTTTCACTACCCCCTAGAGGAATACCCACAATGAAATATTTTCTAAATTATCAAATAACCTGAGCAATACAGGGAAAGTTATCAGATAAAAGCATTCAAACCATAAGACGGTATATTATTTCAGAAATAGATGAGTTTACTTGATTATCTTCAACTATATCAAGTGGAATACAATGATGATTAATTCACTATAAAGAATTAAATGGCTAATACTTAAGTGTCAGTATAAAAATGTTAATTAAATCAGATAAAGAAATATTCTTGGGAAGCTATCATACAACTTCTGAATATAAAAAAATTCTTTAACAGTTAGGGATTTTTGGGGGGCGAGTAACAGAGTCTTGCTATCTAGTTCAGGGTGAGCTTAAACTCACTAGGAAGCCCAGGCTGGCATCAAACTCATGTTAATTCTCCTGCTTCAGCCTCCCAAGGGCTGGGGCAACAGCCACACCCCACCACGCCCAGCACACAGTTAATAATGATTTTTCATCTCTGAAAAATACACTGGGGTACAGCTGTAATGAATTCTTAAAAAAAAAAAAAAAAAAAAA